TGTTTTGTGAAGCGACTTTTTTTCTTAATTTTCATCAAATATTTTCACGGAAAAAATGGCGGTAAACATACGTTTCCTTCATACATGCTCACGCTTTTTGATGACAGTTGATTTCACAACCAGCGCTAGTGCGTCAGTGTTGTAGAGTCTGTCGATTACGGGAGAGTTTGTAATCTGTTGTTGTAAGTTTACTCTTGTTTGGAGTGCTCAAGTCATTCCTAAGTTCCCATTTAAGTGTGATTATAAAATATTAAAAACTCAAGCAAGAGTGTATAATGAAGATAGTCTGAACCTTTGGTTTTTGATATATGTGGTGTCACTTGTAAATCAATGGAGCTATTTGAAGGCATGTACATTTGCATTATTATAATCATTGTAAAAGATTTATTGAAAGTGAAAGCCCATCAGTCTAACATGACTGAATGAGAACTGTGATCAACTGACAACACTGTTGCAATAATATAGTACTTTTTCATTGTGATCAGAAACTATTTCATTTGATCATCAATCATCCCAATAAAAGCATATTTGAATCAACATTAGGTAGTTCTTTCACTGAACGGGACTTCAATTTACTCGGTGGTTCAAGGAAAATGTTATTAATAATACAGTTAGATAATAATAAGATTATTATTTATTATTAATTAATTATTAATTTATGCATATATTTTGGTGACTAAAATTTTTCACTGGCAACCAAACCTGAACAGTCAGTGGCCAAATGGCCACTAAGGAAAAAAGTTAACTTGGAGGGTTGATTATAATTATTATTATTACAAATTGAAATGCATTTGCACATACTTGTAATAGACCAATTTGGATTTATTAAAATTCAGCCTAAAACAATAGACCTCAGCGTGACATTCTGGAGAATAAACCCCACAAACTCTGTAGTCATTCCCCAGAGCCTTGTGCTAAGGTCTATTGCTTTAGGCTGAATTTTAATCAATCAAAATTGGTCTATTCATAGAAATTTTTGAAATTCATACAAAACTAGAATTTGCACTATTGATCCTTTCATTTCTTTTATAACATTAATGCAAACAAGCTGGTGATAGAAAAATATGTGACCTTAGAAATTGCGCAACAACAAAACAATATTGAAAACAATCATCAGTTCAGCTGCAATACAATAAGATGTAGTAGAGCAGCTGTGAAGAATTATTGTGAAAACACTTACAGCTCCCTTCTTGATGATGAAGAATGTGTCTCCTCTAGCACCTTGCCGAATGATATACTCCCCCTCATCATAGAATGCCTGCAGTCAAAATAGAACTCAGTTTAAGACTACAGTGGAACCTCAATTTAACGAAGCGTTAAGGGACTGTGGAAACCTCGATATGATGAATTTGCAGAAAAAGAAATAAAATGTATATTATATCAAGGTATAGTTAATAATAGTTTTTTTAATGGTGTTACATTGTACTACCCAGCATTTCTGGATCTAAAAAAGTACTGTAAATATTTGTGCATTTTTTTAATGTCCAATTTATATGTAGCTACAGTATACTGTGCAGACCTGTACATAGCAATGGCACCAAAAGCTAAACAGGTCAACAAAATTTTAACAGTTGCAACCAACTTTTACCATGAAAAGCCTTCAAAAATAAAGAAGTTAATAGAACTACATGTAACAAGAGGCAAAGAGGATAATGCAGATCTATGATCTGTGAAGAAGTTGTTCTATTGCGACGGAATTAAAGGATTTTCATTCTTGCTGGTATGGAGTAGCCATACCAGAGTACTTGGTTATTGTAATTTGTATTTTATGTACCCACCAAAAATAAAACTACAACATGGTCAATGAATAACTTTTTCACAATTGTGGTACCTGAGTACTAATAACTATTGATGAGCCATGTAACATTCATGTAATCCTCAAGGTTCTTGTTTTATTTTTAGTTTTTGAGTTAACTTATCATTTATTTCAAGCCAAGCATAGTGATTAATTTAAAAGGTACCTGGAAGCTAAAACATTTAATAATAAAAATAGAAAATACTTGAATGTTTTACCATGTATTAGACTACATGTTCATTAGCTTCTATACAAGAACAGACTTGGCAACATCCATAAAACCCTGCAACTTAGGCAACTTGAAAATGTTGTTGTCAATGATGGTCACAAATGTGGCCACACATAGTTACTTGCCATCTAAAACTATTGCTTTACCTCTTCAATGACATCTGCAACTTTGGACAGCAAATCCTCACGCAACTTAGCCAGCAATGGGACACTAAAAGGGACAATAAAACCAAGTGATGTTAAAAGTTATTTATTGATTCATCTGCTTATTTAAACTTAAATCTATTTTTTTTATGCAAAAGATCTTATGAGGAAATAAATTCAAATACTAAAGTTCAACTAAGAAGTTATAAAGTAATATAAATGCTCATTTTTTGCACCTTTTCAAGAAGTCAATATGTTCTTTCTGTCTCATAATTCCTGTCTTCATCATGATTGTCTGGAAGGTTTGTCTGTCAATAGCCCAGATCTTGACATCAGTCTCAGCTAACAAATAAAAGAAATGGATTGTATGACACCTTGACATTCGAAATTCACTAAGGTGGTTAAGAAATCTATGTTTACCAAATTATGTTGCTAATAACTTTTCCAATGGTCCAATGGTCCAATGGTCACCTTGACACCAATACAAGTTCAAAATCTTGGCAAGCAGCACTTCAAAAATTCCTTTACACTTTACTGTTCAGCAATTAAACAGCACAAAATTGAGGTGAGATATATATAGATAGATAGAGATGATGCATGTAGCTTTTAACAAGGCACAATTTCATGCTCCATCAGCAAGCAAGAAACAAACTTAGTATATTACCAACTTGAAAATGATTACAGTAAACTAACTGCCATACATGCAACAAATTTAGAAATGTAAAGGTTTCAAACACTAGCTCCCCATCACAGAGCTAACACTAGAAACATCAGCATTTGAAATTCACTAAGGTGGTTAAAAAATCTATGTTTACCAAATTATGTTGCTAATAACTTTTCCAATGGTCCAGAGTTGTATGGCAGTACAAACAGTATAGTCTAAAAACAAGTGATTTTATGTCACCTCATTGCCACAAAAAGTTACATCAGGATGGCATTTGTATCCACCAAATTTAACACTTTAAATAGATAACAAGTAATTTACCTTTCACACTGGCTGTTCTTGGGCATTTATACAAGATGGCAAGTTCCCCAAACACTCTGCCAGGCCCCATTTGCCCAAGCACAGCTCCTTCCTTCATCACCTTGACTTTACCCTCTGGCAATATAAAGAAAGTCTCATTGACACACAAAGGAAAGGACAATTACTTTTATGAAATGAACAGTTACATCATGGAACATGCCAAGTTCTGACTGAACTGGCATAATTTACACATGCAAGAATACCATTCAGGGGTTTCATTAGAAGCCGACAGCCGGCAAAAATCGCCGCCTACTTTGTCAAAATTTACCTCTTACCACTGCCTACTTTGCCTGTATTTTCACTCACATTATTAAAAAGTTTCATCCGTTTGCTGCCTACTTTAGTTAGCTCAGACAGCTATTTCAAAACTTATTGAAAACCCTGACCATTCACCACACTTATCTCAAAGGCAAAAAGGTAAAACAGTTCACTTGTTTATTGTTTTGAATATGCCCCAGAGTACAAGGGCACACCCAATCCTTGGCATGCATTACATTAAGGTTTTGAAAAGGGATAACTTCATTGGAGGCCACTACAATTCTCACAAGAAACTAAAACAAGATAACCATTACACAAAATAATTATATACCTTCCAACACAAAAAGGTCTGATCCTGACTCTCCCTCCTTGATGAGGAATTCATCTTTTTTCCATTTCTTCTCATACATGCACTCAACAACTTCACGGATTTGTGATGACTCCAACTTCTTGAGGAAATCATTGTCCAAAATTGCATCTTTGATAAGTTCTTTAGATCTAAATAAGATGCAGAACAGAAACATGATATAATTATTAACGCACCCTCCACATGTACCTCTTACTACGTGGCAACAAACTCTTGCAAGATGACATTCAGCTATATATCTTGTGGAAGCCCACTATAATTCTCACAAGAAACCATATCTATATTTTTTTTCAATTTCTGGGTCTGAATTCCTGGATTGAGCCCTGTATATAAAGACTTTGAATGGTCTCAAACCAGAAAACATGTATATAACTTTACCTACTTTAGCATATATTCAAAACAATAATGTGTGAGAGAATGTCCTCATGTTTTAAGAAAAACACCACAAAATTGTAGCGAGTTCATTTTGAAAGCGTTTCACAGAATTAGACCTCACAAAAAAGGCATCAGGGTAAACACATAACACAGCCTCAAAAATTAAGAAATATGTAATTAATCTAAGTTGGTTGCATTGGTAGTGATAATCAAAATTGTGTTACACCAGGTTTTCACAAAATGCCTTGAACATCCATTATCATTAACAGGTAAAAATAAAAGACAATTTTTATCAAGGTTCAGAGTATTTTTCAGAAGCACAGTGGGTGTATTAAACAGCAGGTCAAATCCCAGAACTGAGCAATTTCATTTTGTGGTAGTATGGCTCCTGAGGTACTTCCTTCCAAAGTTCTCAAAAAATCTATTTTTATCACAAAAACAGCATCAACTCCAGACGGCAAAAGCATATTAAAATTCCAAGCTTATCATCTTGCTCATAAGGCACACTTTAACCAACTCATTATTCACAGGGTCACAATTTAAGACAGTTAAACAAAAGTATTTTTTAACCACTTCAATCCTGTTCAGCTCTTTGTAAAGATAATATCAAATTCACACCCAACCATTTTTATACTGTAGTTCTTTTAAATACTGAAAAGCCTTGGTTCGCTATTCAGGTAACAAAAACACTGCTAGCTAATGACTATGCTAATTTCATAACAAAGTGAAAAGTCAGTGAATTGTTTTATTTTAAAAGACTGTTTCAATTATTTATCAAGTGATGAATAACTTGACCAAGAAATCATGCTGTAAAGATCAATTCCCTTTTGAGTTAACATCCAAAGGTAAAATCTAGCATAAGTGCACACAGCTCTTGTATTACCTCGTACAATGTATAAATGTTTGCAGAATTTAGATAATGAGCTATTTCAGACCTTTCTTGGGAAGGAGTAACCTTTGTACCTACAGAGCTACTTTTTAAGATTAGGTCCTAATACTGCACTTGCATATAAAACATTTTTTTTTTAATTTTGTCTGCACATACAACATTTTTTACGTTCTCTGCACATGTAAACCTTGTTCCAAGTTTTGTCTGTGTTTTTTTATGCATGTTGTTACACGAGCAGAGCTCTGTACATTAATGGTTCATACTTGTAACATCACCAGTGGCAATTACAAACGTAAAATGTTTTGAACTGAAAGAGCATATTAGCACAGTGTGTTTAAGAAAAAAATTGACTTCAGAGTTGGGCCTTATTTTTAATAAAAACTTAACTTTTGTTCACCAAGAATGTGTGCCATCTAAATATACAACAGGTGCAGTACACAAGCCACTAAATTTTCCTTCAACCCAAACGATAATTGCTTTACAGATGAGCGGATTATCCAATCCGTTCAAGTATCTAGCCCTTGCTCTGTTATAAATCGCTATCTATATCAAAGTAATTCCAGTACCAATACTTTTCCCAGTGCAAGAAAATGCAAACTACACTACAAAATTAATTTCTCAGTGTTATGACGAACGCAAAAGTTACATGAATGAGAAAGCGACAATATTTATACGAGAAAAGCTTAAAATTAGAATTGCATCACGCGTGAATGACATTAAAAATTTCAGAAGCGAACGCCTGAAATGTGGAATGGTCTAAACATTATTATTACATGCACATAAATACTCTGATACAAAAAGAAAATGTCATTAAAACAGTGAACTTCATTAACTCATGTTCGGATTGAGAAAGCCACTAGCAATTTAGAAATCCCAGGAACAACATAGACGACTTCAAAATGTTTACACAACAACAGAGAAACTAAAGCTAATTTGGATTTGAAATTTTCGTGAATCACTCCTGGCTATTTCTCCACTGTGATTTACCCCCAGGGTTAAATTTTTTGCTTTACAATTTAGAATCCATTTTATCTTTGTTCTCTCTCTGTCTAAATTTCACGGGAATATCCAAACTCACATTTCTATATTCAAAACACAATTAGCTTTTATTTAACATATTTCAGCCATTAGATGTAAATATCCTTCTGTAAGCAAACCCCTACTAAGAGAGTCAATTTTCACAATACATTCGCCAACTGAGCTTATACAACAATTTCCTTTCAACCGTCCAATGTCTTTAGTTCGTCCAGAACACAGAAATAAACAAAGTCAAGCGCTTTTTGGCTCGACTCACCAAGCAAACAGTAGTCTTAACCAGGCTTGGGTCGATTCGTTTGATACAGACCCGTCAAGCTGCAAGCAATATAACCAGACCCCGGAAATATTCAGTTAAAGGGTTGTTTCTTAACGCCACCTTCTTTTACGAGGGGAGCGTGCTTCGGTTGTACCAAAAATATTTGATCGATATCACGATAAAATAAAAGCCTGAACAGCCTGCATTGTGGTCAACATGAGAGAACATCGAACACAAAATATCACAGTTTTACAAAAATAAAGTTAAAGTGGTAATTATGAGCACTTTCATTCACGACCCAAACATAATAAACTTCAGAGCGTTGGGAGAGAAACGAAATGATGATATGCGGCTCGTGGTCGCTCGCTCAAGAGCAAGCGGATAGCTGTGACCATGTCAATATCAGAGAACACTCGCTACTCGAAAAGTCATGAAGCACAATTAAGATAAATAAGTATCCTTTTCAACGCGTATTTTAACATGTTAGAATTTAAGTAAACGCGAGTTCGCAACACAATAAATCGTCCTAAAACGTTCTATCGCGAGGAGCAGTGTTACAAAAGACTACTCAATGTTGCAATTTGCTAAATATCAAAACTCAACCAAGCGTGATTCGACGCGACATTGTGTATCTTTGCCTCTCGCCGAATGTGGTTTGTTGTCGATTTGAAGTGTACAATAAAAACAACAAAGAAAAGATCACCTTAAAACGAAAGAAAATTTCACCAAAAGAAACACACACGGGGCATGACAAAATTCAAATAGCTCAAATATCGACGTTGTGTGTGTGTGCATATTCGACGGAAAGGGGAAACCGACGATCAGCAAGTTTGCCCGAATGTGTCAGATTTCAAGCAGCAAAGAACATACCGGTACCGCCATGCACACACAATCGGCCTGTATTCAGCGACAACCAACCGAGATCTAACCTTGAGGGCCGCCTAAAACGACGAAGAATCAACAAACGAAAGATACCGTCACTGGTACATTCGATTACCCCTTCTGTGAAGCGTAATTTTCTTCATATTAGTGTTAAGTTTCGGCCATACATTAGAAGTTCGATTTTTGTAGCTATCTTTGCGTCGGCGTCCTCGATGGTTTTACGATGACCGCAAATATTGACAACACAGAGCGGAACAAGAAGTCGCAATCATCTATTGTCGCATGTATTTCGCGATAAAAAGCTTGCACTAACCGTACGATGGCTCCAAAAGATCACAAAGCTACAGGCGGGTGTGCTGATCAATACCGCTTGTAGACATGCAAGATTACTAAGCCACTACTGATCGAGCTCTCATCAACTTAAGGTAGCAGCAATGCAAAAAAATGAAATAATCCTTGCCTGGAACTTTTGCTGTGTCTCTTGAGAGGCTTGGAGGCATCGGTGACTGTTTTATAGCTCTGCGGCTCAGCCGAAATTCCTTGACGTTGATTTCTAGTCCGATCGCGAGCTACGGCTGGTTGCAGCACCGAGCGATATTTATCTAACTCGCTCTCCAATCGACGGATTATCTCGTTCCTCCTTTTCAATTCCTGCTCCAGGGCCAAGATTCGGCTATCTTTCATTTTCATCTCGGTGTTCTTTTCCTGCAGAGCATGCTGCAACTCTCTCAGACTGCCCATTTTGACTGTGGTTGCAGCAGTACCCCGCCGAAAACACAAACACCCTGCCTTCTTCTTACTAGCGGCTCGGCCGCAATGCATCACTCGCGCTCTCGAGCCCCCAAAGGAATACTGGGATTACATTTGCGCTTGTGGCCCTCCTGAAGATGTGGGTTAAAAATGCTTTGGGCTGAATTTGAATGGAAATCGCCGGTAGCCGGGTGTCTTGGAGCTGCCGGGTCGAGCGCAAATCCGAGAGGAATGTGTTAACGCCACCCTTCCTCCTTATAAATGCATTAATACTGTTCTGTAAACCATTCGTAAAGGCTTTATCACGGACGTGGTTATAAGTAATTTGTATGTTAATTAATAATTGACAGTGAGCGGATGTTTCTGCCTCGTCGCCGAGGCGAAATCGTGCAAGATAATGTTCAGAGCACCAAGCTGACAGGCAGACAAAGCTAATTGAAATGTAAAAGCACTTCTGGACCAATCAAACAAAGATGAAAATGATTGGCCATGTGATTTTTTGACTGCAGCTATTACTTGTTTACACTTGACAATATGAGTGGTTTAGGGCGGGGGAGGGTTCACTTCAGTCCATTTAGCATCCACTCATTTATAAAGCGGAGTTTGAAATACGTGATCTCTAGATGCTACTTTTACTAGCATCATTTACACCTTGCTCAAGACAAAATCTTACTAATCCTTACAAACACAGAGCGTGCTGAAAGCCTTAACTCCACAAACGTCATGTATAAAGAAGCACAAAAAAAATCCTGTCCAACTCCCAAGACAATTCTGTCCATTTGCATGGTTACACAGCTGCTATTCTGGTCTTGCTTTTAGCGTCAAGAGTGCCCTAAATAGAGTAGTTACGAACCAGACCTGTACTGTTTTGAAATCATTTAAAGCAAAAAATTATATCTGCGTCAAAGTTTAAAGGAGCTATCGGCAAAGCATTTACTGTA